GATAGTTTAGGCTCATATCAAGGAGCATTTGAATGTGTAGATAGTTTAGGCTCGTATCAAGGAGCATTGGAATATGTAGATAGTTTAGGCTCATATCAAGGAGCATTTGAAAATATAGATAGTTTAGGCTCGTATCAAGGAGCATTTGAATATGTAGATAGTTTAGGCTCGTATCAAGGAGCATTGTAATATGTAGATAGTTTAAGCTCATATCAAGGAGCATATGAATTTGAGGATTTGATGGAGCTTTTTATGTAAATTGCCCCCATGCATCATGGCTTCGGAAGACATCATTCTTTATTGTCCCCATGTATATTTTCTTCAAAGAGGTCTTCATGCATCTTCAAAGATCTTCGAACTTGATTTGAAGAGAAGAGATGAGAGGTAGAGAAGGTCCCACCGGGCGTGCCAAATTTGTAACAACAAATTTTATGGAAGACATAAAACTTTTGTACAACTTGATTAAATTTCGATCAAATGATATTGCGGGTAAAATCTCTATTTATCTCCTCTGATTCTTCTCTTCATAAATTTGGGATTGAGACCTTCAAAGATGGATTTGAATGAATGAATCTCCTTCGGATTTGGTCTTGAATTTCTCTAACATTAATTTAGGGGTCGAATGACTTATTCCCGTATTAAATGTTAGGCCTTGACTTGATTGAATATGACTTCTTGGAAGACTTGATTCTTCAATCTTCTTGAAAGAGGGATTCTGACTTGAATAACGTTGATTCCGAGGCTTGATAGCTTTTTTTCCCGGATCAAACGCTATGTTGGTTGAACTTCTCAACGAACGCGTCTTGAATGTCGCTTGAACGTCGTTGATATTCTTGGATTGACTTGAGAAGCGTGAAAGTCGTCTCTTTACTTCTTGAGGAAGACCCGCCGCCTCTTTTTCTTCTTCTTGGCCTTCTTCTTCATTGAATTGACTTCGCGCGGTTCTTCAAGAACTTCTTCAAATCTTCAAGAGGGTTCTTGAGAACTCTTGAATTTGAGACTTTAATATTTGAGACATTTTTGATATTTTTGAGGTGTTTGAGGTGTCTGAGGTGTGTTTTGTGGCATTGAGGAGAGCCCTATTTATAGGTGTAGAAGAGAGAGGTCTTGGAGAAGAAGACTTCAATTTGATTGGTCCTTCATGATTTGACATAATCTCTTTCCTTCTCCTATGATTTGATATAATCTCTTTCTTTATCCTAAGATTTGACTTGGTGGGCAAGAAATAAATAATTTATTAATTAAATATCTTATTTATCTTAGATTTATGTCCCAAAATAAATAAAGACATTAATTAATAAAATATTATAATTTTGATGTCTAC